GTGAGCCAGGACTGATAAAGATATTTCCTTTGAAGTTCTGTCTGGCTGTCGTTTGTGAACGGGAGAAGAGGGGGGTCAGAACACCAAGCAATGTTTCAAAGGGACTGAATATTACCTTCAGTAAGCTAGAATTGTAAAATAAGTAAGGGGACGATCATGTCAGATAGGCTTATCTTAATTATTGCTCTGTTTTGGTTTCATATAACATATAAGTTTTTTAATACGGTGTTATAAAGACCATTTACAAAATATGCTTATGGATTTTTCAAATTGCAATACGTAGAACAATGAACTGGTTATATGAAAAAATAATAGGGAACTCTGAGCATGACAGAAGCAAAAAAAAGTTCACCCTTCAGTTTTGAAAAGACAGTGTAACCGTACATTTATAATCTTGGATTAGCAAGTTGAATTTCCTTTCTCTTTTTGAGCTGAATAGCTATCAGCATAATGCAAAAACTGATCAATGTTATTTTATGCCTTCAGAGTTTAACGATCTATTCGAAAACTACTCTAAGTGATTCCTTATACGAAACATAATAACATGTTTCTTTTTTTTCCTGTATTTTTCTGTCCACTTTTCTTTGTTATTTGTAAAGATAGAAAAAGTACTTTTCTTCTTTTAAAAATAATGATTTCAATAAATGTTTTTGAACCAAGTGCCTTTTCAAAGAATGAAAGTGGTGGATAATTGTGAGTTTGTAGATTAATTCAGGAAGGGACATCAGTCAAATTGAGAAATTACTGGAATTTGAAAAGCTAAAAAATCTTTTCAAAGAATGATATTTGTGCTATAGGTCTCTGTAAAAAAAAAAAGAGATATGATACACAGAAATTTTGGGACACAAGAACCAAAAGGAATTGCTTCACTGAGTTGTCTTCAGGATTTTCTACTCAAAAATGAACAGCCCCAGTTAAGTTGTGTACTTTTGAAGGCTTGATTACAATCCAGAAAATTTAAGCAATTAGCAATAGCAGTTAGACTTATATACCGCTTCATAGGACTTTCAGCCCTGTCTAAGCGGTTTACAGAGTCAGCATATCGCCCCCAACAACAATCCAGGTCCTCATTTTACCCACCTCGGAAGGATGGAAGGCTGAGTCAACCCTGAACGAACTCCTGGCAGTGAGCAGAGTTAACCTGCAATATTGCAG